GAAACGTTGGCTAACATCGACCAGACTCCACAGCGCAACAACCCAGAAGACAGAAATCTTCATGACTGACTGTCTTATGGACTATTGGGACGTGTAATCTGTTATAAGTTTACCGACGTTTCAGAGATGCTTATTGCCTTCGACATTAGAGCGATAAGTCACTCGTACACTGTATAATGTTGCAGATTTTATATCATCGGCTATAACTTGCATCGTTCTGTTCGAGAAGCCATTTTAAAAAAATTCGAGTAAATCTTCGTGTTTTTCTCTACATATCATTGTTATTGTTGAGATGAGGTGTATAACTGGGCCGCTAATGAACCCTTTGTCCATCCCCCAGACATGAGTGGATATGGAGCAGTGGTGGAATAATACTGGTCAGGGGGTGGGAAGGGGGGCGAAGGACTTGTAAATGATACAAACCACACGATGTGGCTTTAAGTATAAAGGTTAAACCTGAATTGATGTAATCCGATTTCGATTGGATGGCTATTTCCATCTCAGTATTCTAGACTTTTCCAAGGTCAGTCTCAAAACTTCGAGGTACAAATATGTAACATTGAGTAGCTCAAACAATATCAATCCTGTCCCCTAGGTGCATTAGGCGTGCGACAAGAGACACCATTTCACAACAGGGACAAGGGACCTTCATAGTGACCTCATTTGGGGGGAGGTGAACACGATGTTTCGGATGTAATTTTAACATCATTCTTCCTTCTCTTATCTAAATATATGACGCTGAGTTATACGTGCATCCCAATTATGGATTCGTGTCTCACGAAAAGTGACTTTGATCGGATGATTATCCTTTTCGCTGTCCGCTGTCGATAAATCACTGTCGTTGAGACTTCATCTCTGTCTCGCAGACATATGCAGGAAGCAGCCAATCAGCAGAGCGGTACTTTCCAACCCCCAGTCCGAACGTTTGCAAATTCACACATGTCCGTCCGACTAGCGTGATAGTCATTTCCACGATAATTACAAGATCTGAAACGCACTAAAAATTTCACGAAATCTAACGTTATCAACAGATATGAACTAGTTTGCTGCTTCAATATACGTATTCGCTGTTTTTTTTTTGGGGGGGGGGATTATTAGATCAGTTAATATTTTTGAGACACGGCAGTGTTAAAACAACCTCTGTGCCGAAATCAAGTCGGCATATTTCAGTCATCACAGCGATTGAACTATTGTACGGGATTACCAGAGTTCTATTCTCGGAAAGGGCAAGATTTTTTAATTCCTCACAACGTCCAGACCGGCTCTGGGGCCCACCAGGCTATTGGGCTTCTCCAGTCAACATCGTCACATCCCATCTCTGTAAAAACCTATTTTAATATTATCCTGTCTAAGCAGTTCTCTCATACAGGTTTCACAATCAAATTTTATACGCATTTCTCATCTCTCCCATTATCCCCCATCCCATCGTCCTTCGTTTGATCACCATAATAACATCCGGTGCAGGATACGAAGTATAGAGCTCCTCGTTACGTAATTTTCTCCAGTCTCCTACCACTTAATTTCTTTTATTGCCAAATATTATACTCATCACATTCTAATCAAAACATCCTTCACGTCAGGGACCTAAATAAAATTTTATACATTTGTATATTTTAATTCTTTACGTTTTGTAGCTAACAAAAAGGAAGACGGAACTTTCTGAACTGCGGTGGAACTTAAACGTTTATTAATGCCATGTATTTCGTGAAAATAATTAATCTGATATTTCTTAAAACAAAGTCGCTGCAGTTTGTTGAATTGGTACGAGCACACATGATTGAAGTCAATGATTTTTCCGCCGGGCGTCGAGTGACAATAACGATAATAATAGCTTCATAGCTGGGCCTACTTTTTGCGTGTCGATTCATAAAAGACTGCGTCTTAGCTAAAATTTAATGAAAGCCACAAGAAAAAAAAATTGTGGGAGCTCCGCCAGCAAGAGACAAAGCAGTTACTCCTCCCACAGAGGTCAAAATGTCAATTTAGTGCTGATATTTATGTACTGTATCCTAATCACGCGGGTTTATCACGTCTAGAAGGCTGGTAACCCAAATTAGTTTTATCTTTATATTCAGTAGACCTAACGTTCACAACGGAAACTTCAATGAGGGAGTCATAAATGGGGAGGGAGCAGAAACGTCTCTTAATTCAAGGCCCTAACAAAAAGGTTACACACAATTCAATGCTTAACATTCACCACACACAAGTTTAATTTGTTTATGAACTCTGCAAGACAGATGGTGAATCCAACGATAATAAAGGTAGCTCAATTTCAATGTAACTGAAGATCTACCAACAATTTAGCCTCCTAAAAGTAGTGGAGATTATTAAAATTATAAAAGAGAACGATCTCATATCTAGCTCAGGAAAGCGGAAAGTTTATTTACGAAAAGAAACGGCCTACTCCAAGATTTCAGCCGTGTGTTTAGCTCAATTATCTTCATCCACGCTGCCAGTATAATAAGATGATCTAAAAATAAAAGTTCGAAAGTCAGAAATACTAACAAATCTCGGAAAACATGATTACAACTGCGACGCGGGGGCAAATGATTTCAGCAGCGGAATTTGAGTTATTTTTAATATTCGTAAACGTAAAGGAATGTAGGCTAAAAACGGGTTTTTGTTTCATAATGGAATATAGGTTAAATAGAAAGTTGTCTATTGAATAAGGAGTGTGTTTGTGTGTGTGTGGGGGGGGGGTATCTACAAGCAGTTTTTAATTTTCAATCGTTTAACAAAGTTATTAGCGCCATACAGCCTATAGGCAGGATATGACCTCCCAACGACCCGCAAAAAAACATATGCTTTGAATTATGTGCTACTCTACGATTAAGTTTTTGTATTAACGCCTCGAAACCAAAACTCGTCCTCACAATATTTAACAACCATTACAAATATCTACTGGTTAACGATGTTTAAGGGAAATAATGACTGTTTACACTAATGCTCACACAAAATCCACAAATACAAAACGATACGTTACTTCCTGTTGAAGTCAGATAACATTAGGCTATAAACGGTTTACAACGGTACTTCTGGAAGTAATTTAGAATATTCTAGAAAACGTGACCACATTCTTTACTTACTAGCTGCTCCAATAATCCCGCTGTGTGACATTTTACAGTGTTTTGTGAATACCGAGATTAGCATCCAGCAGTTTGAAACATGCAACCACGTTACATAGAAACTTACATCAAGGGTCAAACACTGACCGTGTTCTATCCATCCGTCATCGCCCTTTATCAATCAGTGGCATCAGTATCAAAGACCACAATAATAATCTACTTGTATACTCTATTGACTCAATGTGTTCGGGAGAACAGTAGAAAATGCATTATGATTACCATGTTCATCTGGGTTTTGGGGCCGTGCTGGGCTGAAGATGGAGACAGTATGTTCCAGTCTACACGGCGCCAAAACCCAGAAGACAAACGCAAATTATCCTCACCGCCGTGAAAATTTTAAATCTCACGCAAGTTTGTACGAAATTAAACATATTCACGTGTAATATGCAATAACTCCAACGAAAGATTAGTAATTCTTTATCAAAACAGGTCTTGTTGTATCCCTAAATAAAATAGAACCATTCTTGAGAGTTTAAGCTATTAAATAAATTCCCCACCTTTAATGAAGCCAAAAAGTTGTAGGATTTGAGGTTTCTGAAGATGGCTCACATAACAGGATATAACACAAATAAGTAATAATTTATCTACCTGTATAATAAAACACGAAATTTAAATTTTAAGACATAATATTATTTAATAAAATAAAGATGCAGTCATATGTCAATCGTGTAATTAGCGTTAGAATAAATTACATTTTTATTAAGTATTTAGGTGTAATGAATGCTCCAATACATTATTACAGAGACTTGGATAAGTTTTTGTCTTTGAAGATGACTGTACTGTACCTTTTCTGGGATAATTCTCTCATGAAGTTCTTCTAGAGTTGGCCGGTATTCGTGATGAATGGAAAGATGCCTGTAGTGTTCTACTCTTGGGGGGACTTCCCTCGTCAGTTGGCCCAAACTTTTGTAGCGTGAATCGCACCCATAAGAATGCTGCAGATTTGGAGATGTCAAAGAGTCAGTTTCCTTCTCGTCGTCTTTTGCATCTACTTTCGCCACTCGGAAACGATTTTGATCAATATCTTGGAGCTCCTGCCATCTACTTTCGCCACTCGGAAACGATTAGGGCTATTTTGATCAATATCTTGGAGCTCCTGTTGCTCCCCTAAAGCAGGATCATTTGCTGGCGTTAAGTCACTGTTCATTTTTAGTCTTTCCTTCGTCGTGTCGTGTCACGACTAGGAAGATAACTGAACAGCGCGCTTTTATGTCAGAGCCATTCTGAACGTTACAGCCTACAACTATTCAGTCATGGAGGACAATTGGTTTCAATCATTTCCGACAGATGGCATATGTATACATAACTGGTACCCACGGTCGCTTCATATTGGTTGTGACGTCTCTTTCCAGAATGAGTTGGCCTTGAGATGTTAGTTCTTCAATTTATATCTATGGCTGAAGAATTGTAAAGGAATATTAACCGTTTCTAATGAAAGGCTCTCTTTAGTGAAGCTCAAGCAAAGCACAAACACCGAAAGGAAGGTGGGTTAGTGTTATTTAAAATGTAGCGTATTAATGGTGCTCTGAAATAAATGTGTGCATAGTACATCTCGTTTTAGGTTAGGAATTTTGTGATTTCTTTCAGGGTCGAAGTGAGAGGTTACGTATGTTTACATACTACAGTCCTGTATTTAGAAACATTATGCAAACGTGCACGTTATACACACCTCTAAAAAGAGTTGCAGTCAAGACAGAAATGGAGTGGGGCATATCGCATACTGAAGCTCAACTTTTGAATGCATCGAGAGCAATTGTTCCATCTATGAGGCATGACTTGTACAAAGGGAAAGCTGGCCGCATAGGCGTTATCGGTGGCTCGTTCGAGTATACAGGCGCTCCGTATTTTTCTGCTATTTCTGCCTTGAGGGTTGGCTGTGATCTTTCGCATGTGTTCTGCCCACGAGACGCGGCGCCTGTTATCAAGTCTTACAGTCCTGAGCTGATCGTACATCCAGTCCTGGATGATGGGAATGCTTTGGAACTCATAAAACCCTGGTTGCCACGACTCCATGTGTTGGTTATTGGCCCAGGTCTTGGGCGGGACCCGTCGATTCTGGAGACCGTCTGCGACATAATACAGTTTTGCCGAGACGAAGCAGAATATGGGAAACAGCTTGTAATTGACGCAGATGGTTTATTCATGGTTACACAGAACCCGGAAATAATTCGAAATTATCCGAGAGGTGTTATATTAACGCCGAATGCCATAGAATTCAGCAGACTTGCTAAATCTGTATTGGACAAAGAATGGGAACCTACACCAAACCCTGACCCTGAACGTGTAAAGGCGTTGGCGGTGGCGCTGGGAACTAATATTGTGGTGTTACATAAAGGTGCTGCTGACGTGATTTCTGATGGCGTCACTGTGGTCACGTGTGTGTCAGGCGGTTCTGGTAGGCGCTGTGGCGGTCAAGGTGATCTGCTATCGGGGAGTCTAGGTACATTCTATTGCTGGGCTGGCCTCAGAACTGCCCGTGACACATCGGAACAAGTCCTTCCTTTTCCGCCACCGATTGTTGCCGCGTACGCAGCAGCACGCCTTACAAGGGAGTGCAACCAACGAGCCGTGACCAAGGCGGGCCGCAGTACTCTCACAACAGATATGCTGGAAGAGATACACTCTGCGTTCGAGGCTCTTTTTGAAAACTAATCAGTTGTCAATGATGCAGAGACAGATGAATGGAATTGTGTGGAATTTAGAAGAAACATTCGTTGTTGGCTGCATAGTGTTGCCATCTGTCGGCCAACAACGAATACTACTTCCAAATTCCATGTACCTCTTTCCCATTCAGACGATGCATTTAAAATTTGTATGCATTTGCAAATAAATTGTTCTCCCTGTAAAAAAAGTGAATCTGCAAATCCAATCATTATTAGCATTTATACGTGTTTGTTTACAATATAAGAAGCATATATTTTGGAAGATTGACAATGCATAATTTCATATTGCACAAATTTCTTCTAGCTGTACAAATGTTGTGTTATTAATGTAATATTTTTTTGTAATGAAAGTTTCTAATGCATCAATAAAATGCAGTGTAGCTCATGAGTTATCATTCTGGGCTACTTCTTGTACGAAATCCTGGAAACCGGTTACAAGCTACTTCTTGTACGAAATCCTGGAAACAGGTTGGTTACACTATCTTCTAGTTGCCTAGTTCGAAAAGAGTAATCGAATAAATAACGAATCAATAAATACAGTATAAAAATATATTTCTTCCCTTGGTTACAAGTCCGATGAGAGCCGTGTCACATGTTTTACTTAGGTGCTATATTTTCGTAGAAGTTCAGAATATTCAGAGAATGAAAAGATATTGTTATTCTACTGTAACATTAGAAAATGTGAGAATCCTATTAATAATTTTTAAAGTAATCCCTCCTTCTCAAAGTATTTTTCTTTGATAAAGTTGGAAGTTTCCACATCTTGTATGAATATCACATCGATTGTGAACAAAAGTCCAGCTGGCTTTTCAAACATACAAGTGGGATATTATCAGTTGTTGGAGCAAGTCACTGCCTATCGAAAAGACGCTATGATGTTCGATAGGCAGTGACTAGTATCAGGCATAAACTTCAGACTCGAACATTATCTTTGTATCAGACATTGATGGATGCCCTTATTTAAATAACAAGAAAGAAGGCAGTTTGCTAAATTATTTGAGGAATTACTAAGTCTTCAACTTTCGGTTGCTACGTGTGTAATTTCCTTTAAATCGAACCACTTCACAAAAGACAGGAATTTTTTATTAAAGAAACCATCTTAAAATGCACCAATTTGACCGAGTAAAGGTGAAGTTACGTCAGAGATATTTGCTTACATGTATATTAAGAACTCTACTTAATTAAAACTCGTAACGACATGAACTTACAAGAATCGCGAAGTTCAAAGGAGTGACAGTACATACGAAGATTAGCAATAAGTTGACTGCAAACTTTAAGTCTTTGGCGCTAAAAAGGCAGATCTGAAAAATGCTTGTTAAGATAACACAATAAATAACTTAACAATAGTCCTACATGCTTTACTAAGTATTTGAAACGATTTATAGCCCCTCCTTATGCTGCCTGTGTGATGAATATTTCTCCAGGATTCAGTTTCTGGAATTACGTTACACCATCTCATCCACAACAGATGTGATGGTTATTCCACCGTGAGTTGACATTAAGGCTTTATATTTTATTCCTATGCGTTTTATCCACACGATAAGCAACTCTCACCTTTAAAATTAAGTTGTTAAGAAACATAACTTCATAATCTGTAAATATTTCCGTTATTTTCACAAGGATCCTTTTTTGTTCGATGTACTGCAATTTTTCGGAGCTCTTAGTTGTGCGTGTAGTATACTTTCAGGCGCTCTGCAAAAACTGTGGACCTTAAGAGCCTAGCGTAGACTGATCAAACTCTCGGACCGCCGGCCGAATCATTTCTCAAATTATGCACGATGTGTGGTCCAGAATATCCTCAGTTTTATCAACTAGTATAGAAGATTGCTGTCTTCCGGGTTGTTGTGCCACGTAGTCTGGTAGAAGTTTACCAATGTTTCAGAGGTAGCGTGCTGCCTCCATCACCAGGGCGAAAGCAAGCACCTCCAGAAGTCCATAAACTTCTACCAGACTACATGGCAAAACAACCCAGGAGGCAGCCATATTTAGAAAAATCAACTATAACATAGACTTCATATTTTTACAATTCTAACAGCATGCAATAATTATTCACCTTTCAAGAAATTTCCCACCTTTCATGGAACCCAAATGGTCTATTGCAGTTTTCAGAACAGCCTGCCAGAGGTCTATATCCTGACTCAGATTAATCCAGTCTAGAACCCCACGATGATTTTCTTCAATATCACCCGTCCTTACATGCCTATGTTCTCCAAGTAGCCTTTCTGCTAAAATGTTGCACGTTTAAAGATGTATAATTACATAACATTCCAAGTCATCACAGTGAAAGGTGCTAAATGTTTAGCCGACCTCAAGTTAGAAGATGGAGACAGCAGGTTCCTATAAACGTTGGTAACCATCTACGAGATTATACGATGTTTTAACCCAGAAGACCACAATCTGTAGCTGGTGTTTGTTTCGTGGTGAAGGACTGCAAGTTCTCCCAATTCGTTCTTAAACTTTCATAACCATTATTCTACAGTCGTCGTAGGTAAAACTATTGGTAAACCAAGCGTTGTAAATAATGTAGTTCGCGAGTCTGGTCCGAAAATCGGAAGTATTGGGGAAAAAAAATTCACTTTTATCGTTTACGCTGTGTTTCGTGAATACTGAGCCTATGTACCAAAACTATAATATTCCGTATCTGTTGTTTTATATGGGCGTGGCATTTAATATATCGCGTTAAGGGCTATTTTATTGTACAGGGCCTTAAGATGGGGTAACCCAACCCACACCACCCCTCCGCCAAAACAGAGTCCTGACGAATGTGTAAAAATAGGTAATGACAACCTGTGAAAGCCAGAATGCAAAGAGCTCGTCATATTAGGCTGTGATTCCAATGATTATGGAAGTAAAACAACGTGCTACTCTGAACACAAAGAAAAGTTCTATATCCCTAATAATTATCCAGTAAACACCACGATTATATTTCTTAGCATGTATAATTTTCTTAAGCTTTCGAAGCCTAAGTTTATCTACATAATATTTAAACATTCAGTCCGTACCGCAAAGAAAACACAACTCATCTCCATTACAAAGATCAAATGGTTAAAGCTCTTTAAGGAAATAATCGATTTTCATTTCGATGGTTATTTGAAACCCGTAAATGTATTGTGTGAACAAAATCGCACTTTAACATTCAGTAACAGTTCTAAAACTGTGTAGGAACCTGAAGACGGAGATAGAGTCCCATCTCCGAAACGTCGTTTTACGTTTTATATTTACTAGACGATGGATAATATCCAAGAAAATTTTTATTCAAAATATAAAGTTACTGAATGTTAAAACTAGGTCGTGCACGTAGCTACCACTGAGGTTTAAACAATTTAATTCGCAATATAAATTAAACCCATGAGAATTTGATCTAAGTAATAAAAAACACCTCATGAATGTGCAAAAATACGTCATTAATTTTATACCAGTGTGTTCATAAATGCCTGCCCTTATCTACGGTAAGAAACACTACGTTAAACAAAAAACCGTGTAGCCCATAACACAAAGACACGTAAAACACATTCGGCATGCAAGCACATACTGCTGAGAGGCATATGTAATATTCAACACCAAATTGCAGGCTTCTTTCTGGAGTTTGCTGGCATTCATGCAAACAACGAGCACATATCAACGAAGTTACTTAGTTTCTTCGTTAAAGTTTAAAAATTACAACGAACTCCTAAAGAACCAGCAGACTCATATGAGAGAGGAAAAATTTCTTTCATTATCTTCTACAACGCTTTCGGAACCACAAGCTTCGACCTTGATCTCTGCTATGGCAGAATACAGGGAAAATGTAGGTGGTAGATTCGGTGTGATAGAGAAGTTGTTTAAAATCGCTGGCATACCAGTAACTTCAGACGAAAAGTCATTCCTTTACAGCGTGTACCAGGTACTTGTTGTGACAAGTGGGTACCTCACTCTCCTAACCACATTCGTTGGCATTCTGAAGAACCTGGACGACATGGAATACGTGATGGAGGTAGCACGACCTGGTTTTGTCATGATCAATCTAGTCTGGATGCATTTCTTCACCAGGTACTACTTCCTAAGGTCTGTTGATGACCTGAAGTGTTATTCGTCATATACCGAAAAAAAGTCTTGGTATGTAAAGATTTTAAGAAGGGTTTTAAGAGGACTCTGGCAGAACAAATTATATTTTCATATAATTTTAAAAAATTCTAATAGAATTGACAGAACAAATTCGGTATCGGTATCACAAAACATCCAGGGAAATTTTTTGTGGACTAACTATATCATAAATCACTACATACGCGTATTTTATAGCCACAAATAATAGCGTTTGATGAATTAGCATCAGAATAAAATAAAAGTTCTAGAGTGGAGTATATGTCCGGCTATATGAAAGATTTAAAATCTGACAAATTGTTTTGCGATTGAATCCTCTGTTCTGTACACGGAAATTTAACGTTTATAGAACAGACGTTCCAACACACGTACGAAAACAATGTACTTGTCCCTGGCTTTTGTTATAATTATTCAAAATTAGCCAATATCGAGAAACAAATATTCCAACGAGAAAGGATTTCAGGAGCTGATTATTTAAGTTTAATAATACAGTCTATGATATGCTTGGAACAGTTTTACACGCATTATGCATTCAAAACAAATCTGTGATGTTGAATTTAGGGACGGTTTGAGGTTCTGAATTCTAAAACAGAAAATCTTAGGAGAGTGATGAGTAATTGTCAGCCTACTGAAATTTTCCCCAACGGGGCCAGCCTTCTATCCAGAGGGTACTGAGGTAATTTCCTGGGGGTAAAGTGAGGCCGGGGCGCGAAGCTGACCACTCACCCCCATCTACTGCCGAGGTCAAGAATGAGTAGGAGCTGCACCTTCTCCCCCCCCCAAGCGCGTACATGGCGTACAGCGGGACAGCTTTACTTTACATTTTTTACTGAAATTTTCTAAGGTCCAGGTTTATAATTTCGTAAAGTTGTACAAAGACATTCTTTAAACCTCATAATTTATAGCAGGTGGTTTATTTAGTTCATACTGGGCTTTAAAGGATGAATAAAAATTGAGTACTGCAGAACGTCGTTCTTGCTGGGGAATGAGTAACTCAAATACTCGAAAGAAATCATGAGAAATCACTGCTGTAGAGGACGTAACGTCAAAGTCCGTGGTCTCCTTTTGTTTTAGTATGAATATGAACGGAGTACGTAGCCTGTTGTTCATGACCAAACATTTTACCTGGTCCGAGCTTCCAACCAGGGACTCTCAGACTGGCTCCCTCACCATGGCAGGGTGGATACAACGCATCCAACCTCTTGTGTGGCGACTGAATTTCTGTGACTGGGGTACCCACTTTTTGTACTTCGTTCTTCGCGGCGTCACAAGTAACGGCAAGCCGTTTTTCTTCGATGCCTGGTTCCCGCTTGACACTGAAGACCCATCATCGTACGCCCTAGCCCTCATTATACAGGTGAAGTATGAACTCAAATGAACTCGCAGTTATTCAGAGTGAGAACGTAAATAATGTGAAAGATTTCATAAATCTTCCTGAATTACAACGAACTCCTAAAGAACCAGCAGACTCATATGAGAGAGGAAAAATTTCTTTCATTATCTTCTACAACGCTTTCGGAACCACAAGCTTCGACCTTGATCTCTGCTATGGCAGAATACAGGGAAAATGTAGGTGGTAGATTCGGTGTGATAGAGAAGTTGTTTAAAATCGCTGGCATACCAGTAACTTCAGACGAAAAGTCATTCCTTTACAGCGTGTACCAGGTACTTGTTGTGACAAGTGGGTACCTCACTCTCCTAACCACATTCGTTGGCATTCTGAAGAACCTGGACGACATGGAATACGTGATGGAGGTAGCACGACCTGGTTTTGTCATGATCAATCTAGTCTGGATGCATTTCTTCACCAGGTACTACTTCCTAAGGTCTGTTGATGACCTGAAGTGTTATTCGTCATATACCGAAAAAAAGTCTTGGTATGTAAAGATTTTAAGAAGGGTTTTAAGAGGACTCTGGCAGAACAAATTATATTTTCATATAATTTTAAAAAATTCTAATAGAATTGACAGAACAAATTCGGTATCGGTATCACAAAACATCCAGGGAAATTTTTTGTGGACTAACTATATCATAAATCACTACATACGCGTATTTTATAGCCACAAATAATAGCGTTTGATGAATTAGCATCAGAATAAAATAAAAGTTCTAGAGTGGAGTATATGTCCGGCTATATGAAAGATTTAAAATCTGACAAATTGTTTTGCGATTGAATCCTCTGTTCTGTACACGGAAATTTAACGTTTATAGAACAGACGTTCCAACACACGTACGAAAACAATGTACTTGTCCCTGGCTTTTGTTATAATTATTCAAAATTAGCCAATATCGAGAAACAAATATTCCAACGAGAAAGGATTTCAGGAGCTGATTATTTAAGTTTAATAATACAGTCTATGATATGCTTGGAACAGTTTTACACGCATTATGCATTCAAAACAAATCTGTGATGTTGAATTTAGGGACGGTTTGAGGTTCTGAATTCTAAAACAGAAAATCTTAGGAGAGTGATGAGTAATTGTCAGCCTACTGAAATTTTCCCCAACGGGGCCAGCCTTCTATCCAGAGGGTACTGAGGTAATTTCCTGGGGGTAAAGTGAGGCCGGGGCGCGAAGCTGACCACTCACCCCCATCTACTGCCGAGGTCAAGAATGAGTAGGAGCTGCACCTTCTCCCCCCCCCAAGCGCGTACATGGCGTACAGCGGGACAGCTTTACTTTACATTTTTTACTGAAATTTTCTAAGGTCCAGGTTTATAATTTCGTAAAGTTGTACAAAGACATTCTTTAAACCTCATAATTTATAGCAGGTGGTTTATTTAGTTCATACTGGGCTCTAAAGGATGAATAAAAATTGAGTACTGCAGAACGTCGTTCTTGCTGGGGAATGAGTAACTCAAATACTCGAAAGAAATCATGAGAAATCACTGCTGTAGAGGACGTAACGTCAAAGTCCGTGGTCTCCTTTTGTTTTAGTATGAATATGAACGGAGTACGTAGCCTGTTGTTCATGACCAAACATTTTACCTGGTCCGAGCTTCCAACCAGGGACTCTCAGACTGGCTCCCTCACCATGGCAGGGTGGATACAACGCATCCAACCTCTTGTGTGGCGACTGAATTTCTGTGACTGGGGTACCCACTTTTTGTACTTCGTTCTTCGCGGCGTCACAAGTAACGGCAAGCCGTTTTTCTTCGATGCCTGGTTCCCGCTTGACACTGAAGACCCATCATCGTACGCCCTAGCCCTCATTATACAGGTGAAGTATGAACTCAAATGAACTCGCAGTTATTCAGAGTGAGAACGTAAATAATGTGAAAGATTTCATAAATCTTCCTGTTCACCAAATATTATTAAGATAATTAAATCAACGAGTATTACATGGGCGGGGCATGTAGCACACATGGAAGAGACGAGAATAGTTTAAAAGCCTGAAGGAAAGGACCACTTGAGAGCACTAGAAGCATATAGAGATAAAAGGGAATTTTTTTTAAAAAAAAAATTGGATGTGAGTATGTTGACTGGATTCATCTGGTTTAAGAGAGGTCAGCGGCGAAATCTTGTGTACACGGAAATAAACCTCCGGGTTACATTAGGGGCAGGGTATTTCTGGAAAGATGAGAGACTGTCGGATACTCGTTATCAGATATTTGTGTCACATGATGACAGGCTTTGGGCAGCGTGATGCTGGGTACTACGCTGTTCGCGGTGATGGGGTTATACGTGGCTCTGGTATCCATTGGCTGCACACAGCTGGAGAAGATACAAGCAGCGCTGATGGACATCAATCAGCAGCGACTGCCTGAGATGCAGACCAGTCTCGTGCAATGCGTGAAGCACCATCAGCATGTCCTTAGGTGAGTCACGATTAGGGGTCACTTAACTGACGCACAAACTCCCAAAAAAAAAAAACTCTAGCCTCAGGTCGCAGACCACCAGTCACACAAAATTCTTGTCAGACACTTCCTCCTCGAGAGAAATCGTTATGAGCAATTATTTCCATCTAAAGTATAGCAGAGAGATTAGTCACTATCAGCAGCTCAGTCGATAAAATCGAAGTGAAATAATGCGACAGGTCGGTGTTGGATAAGAACATGGACAAATTTGAAGATAAAAGGATCTAAAATTTTTCCTATATCCTGACGATCAGACGTGTGTTGAGGACCGCCCTCACACGCCAATAAATTTGCCGTTCCATTTCAGGTTATAAACAGGAAAGATAAAATATTAAAATGAAAAAAAAACATAAAATATTTCACTCGTCTTAATTTTTTCTCACTTACCACTTACGAGAACTCGAAGTGGGTTTGTTCATAAATGATAATAACGTCATTTTGTTACTGTGACTCGTATTATAAGTATCTGGGTTCGAATTTCGGTCATTATGAGATTGAGATTTTACGAAGTTTCCCTCCCTCGGGCATAATCTCATCTCCGATCTTTAATCAGGGTAACCGCTGTAACCATGGTAACCAATGCAACCCGGAAATTACCCACCCATTCACTTCGGCGAGCAGAAACTCATGTTAAGTTTTCATGTAAAGTTTTAGTCATTTTTAAAGTTAACTGGCTACTTTGTTGCTAATGCGACAAAGAACATGCAGGTCTGCAGATCAGAATTCACCGCCCAAAGGACCATTCTCAGTAGATCTGCTTGATGGTTACGAGTGTCGAAGGGTAAACAGAATTTATTGACTCATCTAACATTATTCCTTTACAGTAAAAGTGCGTTATTTATTTATTTATTCCTCTGAAAGGTACATGAAGGAGCTGGAGACAACCTTCAGCCCTGTTCTGTTTGGACCATTTCTGTCGGTGGTGGCAGCACTGTGTTTTACCGCTTACACAGCCATAAGAGTACGTAAATATATCAGCACTGAACAGCTTTTAAAACGTGATTAATCTATAATTCACTAATTGAACAATTAATTAAATTAAATTGCGACAAAAATAATTACTTTGGTTATTAGAAATATATCAAAATAACAATTAACATCTTTATTTTAGACGCATAACTACTTTTTTTACTCAGTCCTTCTATTTTTATTTACGTGTCTTTAACCCGAGAATAACTTTTTTAAAAGTCTTCTGGGTAATTTAAGCACGAAGAATGTCTATTGCTTTGCACTAACAGACGTGGAATTTATACGCTACAGCGGAACTTCTGTTCACAATTTCTAACTGTTCTCAATCACGGCAACATCTTAGTTACAAAATGATTTAAATCATATGAAACTCGTGATTCTAGCCTAAAAGGGTTTGTTCATACTTGCATTTAGGGTCTGGGTAATTTAAATATATAACGTAACATTTACAAAACATGAAGTTTCTCAGTATAAATTGAGAGAACAAAAGATGAATGTGTACATTTCAAGAAATAAAGAACATTAATGGTGAACGTGTTAATGTTTGGAAATCAAATGGTTGATTTTTTAAACTTCTCTCTACAGATAGGTGGAAAGTTTGTGGAGATTATTCAGATCTTCATAATAACGGCCGCAATGATGTTCCAATTACAGGCAGTTTGTTGGTTTGGTACGGAGCTCAATAAGCAGGTAGGCACATCTAAACTGTCTTAAATAATCTAATAATATTCCATATATGCAGAAAGAATTTCTTACCAAACGTAAATAGACTTCGACTTTCACAATCAGCAGTTAGAGATAAATGTAAAAAATGCATATCGTCTTACAAATGTATCTGACGTTTTCCAATGGAAACTTGTAATGGGAGTTTCCGACAGCGTCGTTAAGTAAACCATAAATAAATAAATAATACTAAATATGACGGCGATGCGAGGATGTGACTTTAGAATAATACCAACTCCATTCAGCGTAAGATTTTACAGTTTCATGTAGTAATTCTTTCGAATAGAATATTCAGCTTTTACAAGAGTAATGTTTTAGGAAATTTGGCAACCTGATCACAAATTGTGGATCGTGATGATTCGGCACGTGTCTGGTGTCATGGACTTTAAACAAGCTATTTGCATTAGTTACAGCTGTTAGAGGTACACTTTTTGTATTTTTTATTGTTTCAGTCTGGTAGAGTGAGGGACGCTGCTTTTGGAAGCGATTGGGTTGGGGCGCCTGTCGCCTTCCAGCGATCCATAAGATTCATAATTTCTGTAACCAAGGATTTCACACTTACAGCCGGCAAGGTTATACCAGTGTATCAAAGCACCGTGATGGTGGTACGGATTTTCCTATGACAGTGGGACATTTATTACTTCAAATTCCTCTAATTTCATCTCCTTTAAGCGGTTCTAATTTCGATCTACATTTTGAGATGCTGTTACAATGTTAAAGTAAAGATCACAGTCTTCTGGGATGTTGCGCCATGTGGTTTCATAGAAACAGACTGGCGTTTCGGAAGTACTTACTGCCTCTATCATCAGGGCGAAAAGTGGAACATCCCACAAGATATTCATCTTCATCAACTAATTTAAGTGACAGGGTAAATTTACATGCTGTTGTAATCTAACTGTGATGACGTCAGCAGATAACAGAATAACATAATTCTGTATGTTTCAGGTACTGAACGAGACATACAGATTTTTAATGGTGCTGCTAAACTTTGTGGACAAATCATCGGAAGTTCAGTAAATAAAAAGACACCGAGAAGTACGTCAAAGTTTGAAATATTATTCCTTATTATTGAAAGATTTTAAGATTAAACAATTTGTTTTATCTGTCGTGTTTTAAAATGAACAGGTTATTATCTGGGATCATACGAAATGAAATGGGGGATAATATTTCACCAAAATAGGCGGTATTTAAAATGAAAGGGAAAATAATCGACTTCGTGGATCTTCACACACGTCAGATGCTTAATTTGTAATGTCATATAAAGATAATATGGATGTGCACATGAATCACATAAAGAATATTTTATGTTGTTTATTATTCTCTATACTATAAAAATTTGTGATTCCCCGTTGTCGTCAACCAATTTGTCGTCAAAGAATGACGTCATCAACAATGTCAACTATAAACTAACTCGGCATTGTTGTGGAACACAACAATGCCGAGTTTAGTGTCTTACTCAAGATTTTAAAACGCAACCAACCCCCCCGAAGGAGGGGTTGGTCAAGTGTTTTAACCCTCCATTCGGGGGGTTTAGTTTAGTTTCTTACACAAGATTTTAAAACGCAACCCCCCCCCCCCCGAAGGGGTTGGTTGCTTTTTAAAAACTTGACCAGCCCCTCCGAGGAGCTCCGAAAGGAGCGTTCTGCCCTAGTATTATATTATATGTGGATTCAGACACCAATCAAAGAATAAATTATTTATATTGTTTTGATTATAATAAAATCAAATGAACCACACAGTACAGATAACTACTTATTCCACTGAAGCTACACTTGAATTACTCAATGTTTTATTCATTTTCGAAGGGGTTGTACACATTTATTGTAAAATCGTTTGTCTGTAGCCACTTAAAGCATACTTAGAGAAGTTAGGAAGTATATCACGTTTACAAATTTTACACTCACAGACAATGTCACACACTCATATTTTAACTGTGGTCACAAAGAATGTTTAAATCATAACTGAACTGTTAACACATTGCGATCAATTTCCAGCGTCACACTGATCATCGATCAATCTTTATCTCAAGTATCTATGATATATTGTAGTCCGAAATAAGTATAAATTTTATCAATAAAGTATGATATTCTTTCATCACTACTCACCAAACGTCCATCTTTACTTTATTTAAGAATATTACTTAAGCACGATTACTCACAGTGATATTAATAGTTTTAGTGGTTCCATGGGTATGAATCTTTTATAACACTAATCATATTTGTACACTCGAATAAACTTTTAAGCCTGAATAACCAATTAGTGTCATATATTAATTAATATATTACTTACTAGCTGTAAGGAGGAATACATCATAAATATTTAATTTATCATACAAGCAGAACTAAATATGGAGGCTATATGTTCCTCAAAAATGCGCCCGTCTTCAGTCCTGAAGATGGTGGTAATATTTAGCTCCGAAACATTGATATACACCTACAAATCCACACTGCATTACAACCCAGAAGACGCAATATCGGTATGAGTAGAACACTTTTCATCTAATTCTGAATGTGGACAGCTGTGCGATAAGAAGAGTGTCTTTTGCGAGGTAATAAGCGAAAAACATCGACTGAAGAAGCCACCGGTTTGGGTGGCACATTCATTTGCCTAGTCTGCCACCGCTAGGCTTAATCCAATTACCGAATCTAAACACTCATCAATGGTCATCACTAAAAAACACTAAATTTTCAAGCGGATGCGTGAAGCGTGTTTCAAAATATGTTATACAGAGTTTTTTTCAATGACTTTCAATGGTGATGAGAAAGTTGACTGTCTGCTAGGATGGTGAGCTGTGTATTCTAATAGAAACTGACCGAAATTTCTTCCTGATGACAGAAGTAGTAATCATAAGCGAAACTACAATGAGCAACTGCCCAGATGATAGTCATCTTCACAAAATAGCATTAGTTTGTACGTCTTTTAAAATACTTCCTATGAAATAACATTATTTCTTTTACTCATAACTAACAAGAGAAAGAAGATTATTTAACCCTTTTATATTACCTTTAAATGATTTTAAATAGCCGAAAAATTTTAAGTGCTGTACAAAACATCTGGATAATTTAAATCTTTATGGTTTTATGTGCCGAAGCAGACGGGAAGACATAAGATTCTGAACTAAATTTTAGCAAACATTCATCGAATTTAATCTGCTCTTAATCTCTTTATCCTCCCATTCTAATTAGTTACCGTCATCATAGAATATTTAAATTTTTCCCATATATTGAAAGGATTTATTAAAGAAGCTCATTCCACTTTACTACAGTACGTCCACAAATAACGCACATGGGCCTATACATACATGTATATATAAGTATCTACGTGCGGACATAAGTTTAAATCATTCGTATGCTTATACTTTGAGATGAGAGAACTTGAACGGATGTTCACATCACCACGTATAAACTCTGTTAAATATAATAAGTGTTTACTGACGACAGTTCCTTGTATAGTTAAATATTAACGTATTTCAAAACATTACATAAATCATGTATAAACAGCAGAAAATACTCTTCAGTTATCTTTATCGGTAAAATAAAAATAAAAGCACGTCATTAAATACAGTCATCGTTACTCAGATGCAGCTTAAATGAGATATACACGCAAGGACAGGTCATCGGATGGAACATGTAAAATTCAGTACCAAGTTCAGAAGATCTACAGTTGACAGATATTCATGCATGTAAATTGGGCATGGAGTGCCCACAAACAAAGTTAACTGGTTCTGAAGAAGAAGTTGAAGCCACGATGAATTAATAACAGTCATCGAACTGATCCAGATGTATTATAAGAACAACAAATTTATCATCTCCAGCACTTCGTATCGAAAAACTCAAGAATAAACATTTACTTGTGTGCCCTAATATCTTCTCGATGACGAAAAATATTTTTGGGAGAGACAACGCTGATTACCGCTTGCAAATATTGAATAATATATTTCTTATAATCGGAACGCCATTGTTCCCAGTTGAAGATTCAAGATTTTATAGTGTGTACCGGATTATCACGTATATGAGTTTGTATTTCACGTTTGTGACTATCTTAATAGGCATCTTCTTGAATCTGGACGACATGGCTTACGTTATGGAAAGTGCACGGCCTGGAATCTCCATATTGAACGTTCTCTGGACTCATTTCTTCATGAGGTACCGACCAGTATGTTTATGGGTTCACCAGATTTGTTTCATAGACAGTTGAACCAAAATATGTTATTGCTTTTATGTGTCAAGAAATAGTTGGTCTTGTTTAAAAGTTGTAACCCGCAATTTATACCACATGAGCAGTTTCTGCTGGTAGCATGTTTTATACCGGCCGCAAACAGGGGTCGTAGGCTCGATTCTGTTCATGGAACTTACATTTATCGACTTTCTTTCATTGTCCCTTCGTGGAGTTAAACTAACCCAGTTTAAGTTCAGATACGACGTCAGGTAACTCTCAGTGAGATATCAATGACTGTGTCCTAGACGTTGCGCCCTACATAGAACATAATCCAGATTTAAAATTGCATTATGTTTCAGCATTAATTTAAATAAATTGCAAATTTTGGTAAAGATGGCGACAAGCTTCACATGGTCGGAGCTGCCTGTCAGAGACCCTGTCACTGGCTCCAAGACAACCGCCTATTGGATTCAGCGCTCTCAGGTACTCGCCTGGAGAACGGCTAATATCGTCGTTATAAGCCACGTGCTGTACCTGGCATTACGCATAGTTACCAACAGTGCCAACCCACTATTTTTCAACGCCTGGTTTCCCTTTGACTTGAACAACACACTAGGATACTCATTCGTATTGGTCTTACAGGTAATTACAGTCAGTAGGATTTGAGGTTCTGAAGACGAAGATGGCTCCCTTCTGGATTGCAGAGCCGGGCGACGCAGGATGGAGGCAGCGAGGACCTCTGAAACGATGGTAAACTTCTACCAGACTACACTGCGCTACAATCCAGAAGAGAGCCATCTTCTAATTACAGCCAGGTTTGGTCATTTGACGAAATACAGGGTGAGTCATAATTGGGTTCAGATTAAAAAGAATTATAATCCGAAATGAACTGATTGTTAAAATATGTTGAATTAAGAAATAAAACTTAGCGGTCGATGAATATATGAAAAACTCACTCGGCATTAGCTTAATTAAATTTAACTAACTGGGAAACACCCCTTCTCGAGAAGCTAACAATCGCTCGTCTAGTTAAGTAATTCCCGCCTTTTATGGAACCCGAAGATTTGTTACCCTATTTTAAAGAACTCGTCACTAGTTCCTGTCCTGAGCCAGATAAATCCAGACCACACCTTCCAATTCTGTAACCTTAAAAAATTCATTTTGAAATCATCCTCGAATCTTCGCCTGTAATCTCCTTCATTCAGTCTTTGCGACCGAAAACTTATCCACATTCTTCATCTCCTACATGAGGGCTACATTCTCTGCCAATTTCATTTTCCTTAATTTGATCAACCTAATAATATTCTTGATAAAACTAACAACAGGCTTTAGAACGTTGGCTGGTTATTATTAAATGTTTCGTCAAAGACTACTAGTTCTTACGTTTATCAGTCTTCTAAACCTCACGGAATGACACGATATTAATAATATTTTATTTGGTGAAGGGTACAAATTATGAAATGTCGTACATCCTTTTGTCACTTTATCCTTCTTATAACAAATACTCTTCTGAGCAGCCTGTATTAGAACATCCTGCGTGGTCTTTCCTTCTCGCGAGAGACCAGGTTCCATACCCACACAAAACATTTTTATTTAATTGAATAAAACGTCGTTTTACGTTTTATATTTACTAGACGATGGATAATATCCAAGAAAATTTTTATTCAATTGACTCTTCACCATCGTCAAAAAGTTTTAGATTTGATATTTCTATTTAACTTTATTCAGTTTAATCTGAGTAAGGGTTTGTCTTTACCATAAAGAGAGCAGATTCTTTTTTCTAAAAGTTGTCAGTTTGCTAGTCCCCATAACACACAATTCCTTATGGGGCAGGGTTTCGGAAGCATCATTCTAGCCAACCTCCTCTTCGGATTCATCTGCCTGTACGTATCGCTTGTGGCGATAGGATGCACTCAGCTGGAGAAAATACAGATTTCACTACTGGATCTTAAACAGATACAAAACGAACCGCATTGTGTACTGAAGAGTGGCTTTGTGAAGTGCGTGCAACACCATCAGCAGGTCTTGAGGTAAGTGAACGATCCACAGACAACAAAAAATGCAAGGTACTCTTACAGAAATGAGCCACTCCAAATTTCTGAGTTTCACCAATTACACCCACGTACACAAAACATAAATAGTTCTATCTACTACCTCAAAAATTACTGCAGGCAGAAGGCTCTACAACCCAGAAGACAGCCACCTTTAAAATGTCACTAATTCCACTCCTAATATAATAGCCAATGTCCGTCAATCTCCAGCAGACTAATGCGAAAAAAAAATTGAATCAAGTTCTAACGATGGTGACTTATAGCAAGATATAAAATTGAGGTTATTATGGCGCGTAAGGTGGGGTCTGGCGGAGTCTCCATTTGACGGAAACCTGGATTCAGATTTTCGATTCTGTGTTAACGCGTCTGGGATGAATCTGGCTTCAAAAAAATGTTCCATTCCATTCAAATTTGACGGGGACATACATGCAAGATAGTCACAACATATCTGTCTGGAGATCGCCCTGATGACTGAGGCAGGTAGCATCTCTGAAACGTCGGAAAATTTCTACCAGATTCCTTAGCGCAGAATACAGCCTTGAGAGTATAAAATCCCAATTACTAATTTGTTCTTTCAAATAGTCGCAATCTTATTCAACAGGTACATGAGAGCGCTGGAGGACATGTTTCATGTGGTGTTGGTCGGACCGTTCTTATCAGTGGCGGTTACTTTGTGCTTTGCAGCTTTCACAGCCCTGACGGTACGTATAAACATACAATTGTTGGACCGACGCTGGTTTCGGGTCGAATTAGAAATACGATGTGTCTAAAAAAAAAAGAGTGCGAAGATTACCATTTTCTATATTTAATTAACTAAAGCAGTTACAACAATGAAATAACTTCAGACACGTACAGAAAAACTTCTTCAGCGTTGCAAAACTGTGTATATAAAATGGCGCCACAACAATGAAAAGCTGAATGTGATCTTTCCTTTCACGAAAGAAGCTCTTGACTACAGTTCAGAGCCGGTTCCAAAATTCTTGAAGAAATTGACTTTAAAAGAATTGGAAGCTGGAATAACTTTAAGCGGAAAGACTGCATCCATTGAGGTAAGAAATCCGGGCAGCCACCAGCAAGTGAAGAGATGATTGATCGTGTTCCTTTGAAGCGAACCAGAGAACCTAGCCTGCCCTGAGAATTTCACGTTAATTATAAGTGTTTTGCAAGTGTCTTAAGTTATTTCAATGTTCTAACTGTTTCTGTTTATTAAATAGAGCAGACCTTAATCGTCTGCTCCATTGAGTTAGTTGCTTAGTTAGGGTATAGAATATTCCTATTACACTGTGTATATTTCCACATTTTTATTTAATAACATCATGATTATTGTTATTAGATTTCAAATCGCATTATCGTGCCTGGATTTTCTTTGTTCTAAACGTACTTAATTCTCACCGCCGAGTGGAGTAGTATTACGTTCCGGCATTTAAATTCTCCAGGTTGTGGCCTGGCGTAATATTACGTCCGGCTTTAAACCTAATTTCTACAGCTCATAACTTTGTAACGAATAATGCCAGCGCAATGAGGTTTGCGGTACTCTGTTGTGGAAAGTTTTCTGTGTGTGGAGATTCGGCAACCCTGTTGAATCTTTTCAGCGACTACCTGGGAGTCTAAAAATAAACGACTGGCCACAGTGTTGCAATGGAGAACCCTTCAAGCAGGCGTGTGTTATCTGATGCTGAACAAAGGGCACTTCTAGACGAATTATTGGAAGTGACAATTATAGTAGCTCGGACACTGAGAGTGTAGACTTTGACTATACACAGTTGGTGACACCGGGAACGTTAGCGATTAGTGATAATGAGAGTGACAATGGTGGTGGGGAAAGCCAGGAAGAAATTGTAGAAGCAAATTCAG